AAAATCCTGATTCCAAATCAATGGTTCACGTAGGCTCCAGGATCTTGATGGAACAAACGGCGCATGAACCAATTATTGGTCACCGGATACCATGGGACTGCATCTCCTGACGTTGATTCACTGCCTTTTGAATCAGACCTTTAGGTCGAAAGCTCCGGGTGTAACTCCCTAAGAAAACCACTTGCTTCGGTTTGGGCACCCGGACAGTATCACAGCCCTCAAGCAAATCGAATGATTTATGTGCAGCATATCTATTGGGTGCCTCCTTGTACCATTGTTTAGGTGCTTGAATAAGTAAATAAATGATATGCTTAGAGTATAAAATCGAATTGTGATGATTTAAATTGTTCAAATCTTTTCAATATTTGTGAAATGTCATTTGAAACAACCAATCACAATAAAGATATCAGTTCCATTATTCAACATGGTTGAAATTTAACGATCAAATACCTTCCAAATGAACATAGTAAATGTATTTCAAAAGTTTCCAACTAGAATATCAGTGTTTATTATTAAGATATGATGTGTGAATCTTTCTGTTTAGACATTTTTGATCACTGGTTCTCTGGTACATTTTGAAACATTTTTTCAAGAATAAGCGCTTGAAAATAAAACTAACAATTCATAAACTTCAATAATTAAGATCATGAGTCAGTTAAAGCTAGGCCACCATGGAAAACGTAGAAGCACTGGACGACTGTTTCGTCCTAATATGGGACTACTCAGCAGTGCGCATCCACGATCTCGGCCCCTGCGAGATCCGAACCCAGGACCTACTGGTTTCGCTCGCGAGCACTTAACCACTAGACCACTGAGCCGGCATCCAACGGTGTTAATGTCTAACTCCAACTAATCCACGAAATTGAGCGACACATCCACCATAGTCTCCAGTGAGTTACTATCCCACAACAGACCTGGTTGAACTCCACTGGTCACTACTTCTCACTAGAACTCCAGGATATACCTCTTGAAGCCAGTCACTAGTTAGCATATGTTGATTATTGTCAGAAGGGGTTTTGTGGAGATTGTAGTAATTTCAATGATTAAGATCATGAGTCAGTTGAAGCTAGACCACGAAACCAGTAGGTCCTGGGTTCGAATCTCGCAGGGGGCGAGGTCGTGGATGCGCACTGCTGGGGAGTCCCATAATAGGACGAGACGGCCGTCCAGTGCTTCCAGGTTTTTCATGGTGGTCTAGCTTCGACTGACTCATGATCTTAATCATTGTAATTACTACAATCTCCACAAAACCCCTCCTGACAATTCATAAACTATCAAAATCCCGAATTTATTAAAAATTGAATTAAAAGTCCTGCTATGTTTGAGGCGATTACGAGTTCACCTATTCTGTAAACAAAACAAAGGCTCTGTGACCAAATACCAACAAGTTAGATATTCTGATGCGTCTCAGCCCCACTAACTAGAGAGAGAAGTCCAAGTTTGGAACGAGGAAATATATTCCGCAAGCAACCAGAAGCACGAGTAACCACGACAAGTCTAGTCGGAAATACACTCATTTACATACTGGTTTGTACATCCATTTTTGATTAATAATCAGATTAAATCACATATATAAAAAATAATTCGTACAATATCGTATATTATACAGAATAAAATGTCATAGGGGAAACAGAAACAAATACTATACTGAGTAATCATCAAATCGAATTAAACATACGGAATTAAATCCTTTTTTGGATTTATCTACCTTGAATCTCAGTTGATCGTCTAGGATTGGCTTCATCTTAGTGACGTAATCAGCTGTATTCATTAGGACAACACCTGAACCTTTATCCGGTCGTAAAATCATCACGTCATTATTTTGTTTGATGTTTCTTAGGGCTGTCAGATGATCTTTGTATAGAAGATTCGATTTTAATGTCGATGACACGAAGTATTGGTTAGCAATATCAACTAACTTTGATTTAAACCATCCTTTCTTTTCCTCATTTACTGGCTGCAGATCTTTTAACTGGTCAAACAGATTTTCGAATTGAGCATCTGTATTAATCCAGTCAGTATTTTTTTTTGGTATATGAAATTTGAGTCTCAGTAAGTCTCAGTGGCTTCTGTTTCTATATTATTAAGCTTGATATTTGTTAAGTTATAGATAAACTTCGAAGGGTTTTCGTGAAACCCTAAACATAAATGTTCTCTTATCAGAGTTTTCGATAGAGATTTATGGAAATCCTTGCAAACTTTGATTTGAAGGTTACGAATAAAGTTCGTAAATTTTATCCGACATGCGATGTTTAAATAGTTAACCGATTTACCAAAAGCATTGGCCTCAGCCCTTAGTCGAGTAATGAGTAATTTTGTTGACTCAATGTGAGATTTGGTGATGCGTCTTAAGTTTTTGATCGATGGTGAAAGTTTACAAGAACTCAAAGATTTTACAAACAGGCGCGGGAAACAGCCTGACGGAATTAATGTTGAGTAAAAATCATAATGAGCAAATCAATCTCATTTTGACTTATCATCCCGTCATAACAAGTTCATAGAAATATTGGATGTATTTTATAAAGGATGTAGAAATAACAGTTGAACAGAATAGCTTAGATTGATTATTATCCCATACATTTTATAGTAGATACACCATTCATTATACAAATAAGTTTACATATACTACTATTATTACCCATATATAATAAGAATTAAGTTTAAAAAATAGCGTTTTTTTCAGCGAGTTAGTTTTCTACGGGATGGGGTCGCTAACCCCATGCTCAACCCCCCTCTTCTATCCAGGCTTGGGACCGGCAGTAGCCCCAGAGAAACTCCAGGCGGAGAAATGGAAACAGACATGGGAAAAATGAACAAAAATTGGATAGAACTGGAAAAAAAGGCCCAGGACAGAGTGGGTCGGAGAATGCTGGTCAGCGGCCTATGCTTCATTGGAAGTAACAGGCGTAAGTAAGTAAGTAATGTTTTAAAAACCATAATTATTTATTTTCACCAATAAGCATTAGAAAATATTGTTCAAGTCAGGTTGAGATAATGTTTGTGCAGATTTACATCATTTACAAGAAATATCAGAAGGAGTTTTGTGGATATTACAGTAATTTTAATAGTTGAGATCATGAGCCAATTGAAGCTAGACCATCATAGAAAACATGGAAGCACTGGATGACCGTTTTGCTTTACTGTGGGATGTCAAGTACTTCCAGGTTTTCCATGGTGGTTTATCTTCGATTTACTCATGATCTTAGCTATTAAAATTTACAAGAAAGCTGATATAATAAGCTTGAGCAAAAATAAATTCCAGTAATAACAACAACAAAAAAAACCAATTATGGTCTGTCGTTCCAACAATTAAGATGGTGGTTGGAGGTAGTTAACAGGAAACTTTGGACACGGGTTTCGTGCTATTTGACACTCGTCAACAGGATGGTTGACAGCAATCGATCTACACTTAGAAGGACCTGATACACATGACATTAAACACCACCTAGTAATGAATCAATTTTAATTACAATAATTAAAATTTTCGAACATTCTACGAATATTTTCTTGTTCTTTTGATATCAACCTATGCATTCTAGGCAAATTTGATTTTCTAGGCTTAATGGAACGTGATAACTTAAATAAGTAATTACATTTAAAAGCCTTTCATAAAAAGCATAATTACTTTGTATTCACTTATATTTGAATAGTTTTGCTTTTGTAAAAAAACAAGGATAAAAATGCTTATTTTATGTCTGAAATAAAAAGTGACTTTACTCTTGAAGGATTTTTTCATCTATATATTCGATGAAAATTAACATTTATGAGAACTGTGACAATTGCATGAAAATGTTTTATTTCTCCTTTTGCAGTCTTTCTGACGCTCTAGAACTTTAAAACCTTATTTATATCAATAACATTGAAGATCTTTGGTAATTAAGTAACTTCAGTAGTTGGAATTATGAGTCAGCTGAAGCTAGACCACCATGGAAAACCTCAAAGCATTAGACAGCTGTTTCAAATCTCGCGGGGGCCGGGATCGTGGATACTTACTGCTGAGGAGTCTCATACGAGGACGAAACGGCCGTCCGGTGCTTATAGGTGAATCTATAAATAGCTATAAACTTTCTGTTTAGGACAATGAACTACTTTATGAACTGATACACATTTAGTTGGATGTATGAATTTCAAATAAATACTATTCCTATCTTTTTGTATCTCTGGACCTCTCGTTATAGTTTTATATACATAATTAGAACTAGGTAGTTTACGGAATATTGTTTGATTAGCACATGTTTCTATTAACCCATTACTAATATTGTGATCTTGATTATGATTAGTCTCTGTAAGTCTGTGTCCATCTCCAGATGATGCCTAAAAGTCAGTATCAAAGCGTTAGTTCAGAAAAACATATATGCCGAAGACACTGATAAAAATAAGGAGCTGAATATTAATAGAGGTTTGTTGTACAACCAAAACAAAGAAGTAAACAATGACAGGTTTAAGGTCAATAAGAACCTATCAATATCAAGGTCTACAGGACAAGCTGTGAACCACATGTAGAGAAGTTCGAAAGCTTCACCTCTATCCAAAGTTTGTGCTGATGATGTCGTTCAGAAGAACGATGAAAGCTCCACGACCAAACCATTCAGCTCAGCGAACAAAACTCTATCAAAATCATCCAATTGAGCTACAAATCTTCTCCACATAAATAACTGTCTGCTAATTAACCATTTTGGCAGCTATTTAGACACAATCTTAAAAGATGATTCATTGTAACTTGAAGAAAATGATTTGAGTTTAAATATCCATAATGGAATGCATTTGTCTCATACATGAATTAAAATCGGATATTTGAATTCAGGCATAGCAGTAAGATCTAACAACTTATAGCTAAATTCATAGACTGAGTTCAGTTGAATTACATGCTTAGGATAAGACAATTACCATTAATGATAATAGATCAGCACTGCATAATTAACTGAAACGTAAGTTTTTTGATGCCAAATTATTGTCTAAACCTCAAACGCAATCCAAAAAAAACTTAAAGATCCTAAGTTCGATTTCTGATTGGGTTGTGAATGCTAATATCTAGACTTTTATTCAAATCAATTTTTGATTTTATTTTGTTTTTTTTGTATGAAACTTTTTGAAATTAAAATTTGCATGAAAATTGTCGTTAAATAATTAAAATGAATGAAATTCATTGTTTATTAGAGAACTAACAGGCATTTTTACTGACGAATTTACAAAGTTTTATGATTTGATATGAAGGTGGTTTGATATTGATAACGTCAATATAATATTGTCTACTTTTAATTAACTCAGTAAGTTATTATCCATTTATCTACTACTATATCAGTGGTTATCATGAATCACAGGTTTTACTTGTCAACTACACAAAAATGGATGGTTAACACTACCAAAGTATATGTGAGATAAACTATGGTTACATTGTCACCTTCTTGTCAATATATATATGAAGAAAAATGAAATATGAAGTTCTACATTCTGCAATAATATACTTGAAACCATCTAATAAAAAGACAAATAAATAACTACATTGAATGTAAATAGATTTTTTATATTCATAGTTAGATTATACATGATTCATATTATCACTCTTACAATGTGTACACAAAAATCTATTGTTCATCAAAAATTGTAAGATCAATCTTTTTCATGTATAGAAATAAAACTAATGTCATACTTAACATTTATTCTTTTACATTTGTAATTCATAATTTATAGAGAATGTACAATAGATCATAATTGATCATGTCATTAGTTAAATCATTTTTCATTAATTCCATGGAATTTAGATATAAAATAATTCCCTCCGGTAACCACTCCCCCGCCCACCCCTCTATCCCTTTCTCTCTCTCTCTCTCTCTGTCACTCGATTGCATTAATTTACACTACATTATATACAATAAAAAAAATATTTTTTTTTCTCTACAAAAATTCTATTTTCTAATCAATTTTCAATTCCCAATGTTTCACTTATAACTTTATTGATCTTTCACTGTATTCATTAAATATTTACTCTTTAAATAGTTAATATAATTTTGACCTAAATTTCTCATTTGCATATTGATTACATTTTTAGCTTCAGAGAGGATTTTTAAATTAGTTCGTAAATTTTCCAATTGAATATCATCATAGAAATTGTCTTCATCTCTGTCATTATTATTATCATTATTATTATTATAAACGGTTGAAAAATTTAGACCATTGTTTATATTCATTGATTTAAACAATTCTGGTGACATATTTTCAATGAAAGAGGTTATCATTGATTGATTAATTTCATTGTCTATAATAGATTGTGAATTAGAAATATTAGTATTTTTGTTAAAAGTAATATGTGTACTATTGTAAATATCATCATATGTATCTGATTGTTTACTTAATAAATCATATTTATCATTTATATTTTCAGTTTGATTATTTTTATAACTAGAACTTTTTTCATCTGCTGAAAGAGTAACTTTATGTTTAGATGATGGAGATTTACACAATGATGATGATGATGATGATGAGGATGAAGATGGATTTGAATGTATAGATGGTGATAAATATGGAAGTAATGTTGATCCTGTATTAGTTTGTAACCATGATCTTCTCATTTGATTTCTTACTCTTTTAGTTAGTAATCTTCTTCTTGGTTTATTGATTGATTGATTAGTATCAGTAATTAAATTAGATAAATCCAATGTTGCTGATTTACAAAATCCTTTATATGTTTTATTAGAATTCATTAATAAATCTTGAGTTTTATTTACTTCATAAGATAAATTAGTATGGTCTAAACATTCTGGATTAATAATACATTGTGTACATTTTGGAGCTGGTGATGGTGGAGGATCTGGTGATATAGGTATAATAGGTATATCATTTTTTTTTATATTAAAATAATTATTTTTATTTATTTCAGTTTCTGTAGTTGATCGAGTTATATAATCATAACGTGAACTATTATCTGTACATAAATAAATACCACTATCTGTTAATGAACTAGAAATTGAATAAGATGTCATAGGTATATTAAATTTAGAATGATTTAATTCTAATTTAGAATAATTTATCCATGGATTTGTACGAATTTTTTTATTATATTGATTTGATTTAATAATAATATCTGGTGTAGTTTGAATATTGATTAATTGTATTTCAGTTAAACAATGTGGACATTTCCATAGATGAGATGAATTTAATTGATTTTTAATTGATTTATATGTTTTTGAAAATTTATTTGTTGCTAATGGATTATAATGAAGTATTGTATTGATATTCATTTGATGATGATCATTATTATGATTATGATTATGATGATCATTATTATTACTATTAGTGAATAACATTGTAGTTGATTTTTTTAATAAATTTTTTGATTTTTCCATAGTTTCATTTAATGATTGTCTTCTATATTGTAAATTATTATTATCATCATTACTATTATTATTACTATTATTATTATGTTTTAATGTAATATATTTCTCATGTGATTGCATAGTTTTATAATTGAAATATTTATTCATTAAATATTGAATAAATGAAAAACACCATAAATTTTCTGATTTTTCCGTATTTCTCATTTGATTTTATTGATTATAACATTTAAATATTAGAAAAATTTCATTTCTATGAAGAGAAACAAAAAAAAAGAAAAAAGAACTAAATGAAAAGATAATTACATAGGTAAAAGAAAAAAAAATAGAAAGGAAGAAAGACAGTGTGTGTGTGTGTAAAGATGAGAAAATGACTTTTAAATATTTACGTGTAAAATTAAGATATCATGTATAGTGAATGGGAAATTAATGGATTTATTAGGAATGTAAATTTTGTTATCAAAGAGGAGTTTTGTGGATATTATAGGAATTTCAATAGTTGAAATGATGAGTCAATTGAAGCTAGACTGTCATGGAAAACCTGGAAGCTGATTTGTTCTCTTGTGAGACTCCTCAGCAGTTCACATTCATAATGCTGCCTAGCGGGATTCGAACACAGGACCTATCCGTTTTGTGCGCAAGCGCTTAACCATTAGACCACTGAGCCGGAATCTAATGATGTCAATGTATAATGAATGCACGCTACCTAGAAGTTTTACATTAGGACGAAACAGCCGTCCAGGTTTCCATGATCGTCTAATTTCAATTAACTCATGAATTCAACAATTAACTTAATATAATATCCCAAAACTTCCTCTCTGATTATAATCGTCATATGCTCACTGACTACGGTCTCCAAGAAGTATTTCCTGGAGTTCTTGTAACAAGCCGTGACCAGTGGATTTTACCTAGGTCAGTCGTGAGATAGTAACTCACTGCAGACAATGGTGGATGGTGGCACAACTTTGTGATTTAGTTGAAGTTAGACATTAACACTTAAGCGATGATTATAATCAAAGTTGCAAAAAGTTTCTACTGTAAAACATGTACTAAATTACAATGAGCAAAGAATAAAAACGTGTTTATCACTTCATTAACTGATAACTAATAGTTTGAAGTACACAATATTTGTATTGTTCACTGAAGCGTGTATTGGCATAGACTTCATTCTGATACATGTTGTTTATTGAAGCGTTATGAAAATGGCTTAACCACATAGAAGAAATAATTTTGTATCACTAATATTGTAACTCTTGTCTAAATTCAATCAATAATAAATCAAACAGAATTTTTTTAAAAAAAATCTGATAACTTTCAGATGATTGAAAAAATCACTCCTTCGATAATGATTATCAAATAGCTGTTGAAGAGCTAATTCAATTACATTTCTGTTAGTTAATACAATTAGTATTAAATCACGTTTTCCTCTTAAAAAACAACAAACAAATATGTTTACCCTAAAACACATTTATCAATTTAAAACAATTAGTCCCTTTGATAAGTTTCAATAATGCAATGAGAAGACTCAGTTTATCTGAATTATGTAATATATTCGCGCAATACATTTTGAACAATCTAATCACACATATATTTGTTAAGACATTTGACTGAGACTGGTCATAAGATTGATATTAAATCAGCTTTGTGGTGGTATACAAAAGCCTTCAGGGAAGTATACTAAGGTTTATTGAAGCCTTGCCTATATGAAAACTGAAACCCCATTTATGTGTTCGAAAACAATTTGTTCTTACACTTAACCTACCCTGCTGATACTGATTTATTATCCAGAGTGTTGATCACATTGTTTTTGTGTACTTTATTATTATCAGAAGAGGTTTTATGGAAATTGTAGTAAATTAATAGTTAAATTCATGAGTCCAATAAAGCTAGACCACCATGGAAAACCTAGAAGCACTGGGCGGCCGTTTATTCCAAATATAGGACTCCTCAGCAGTGCACATCTTTGTTAGTTTACCTTTAATCTGTCTAGTTGACCGTTTTAAATTTCATATAAAAATATCTTGACAAGTATATTATATATGATCAGATTGTTCGAAATGTATTACGCAAATAGATCACATAATTCTGATAACCTTTGTCTTCATCCAAATAATGAAAATTATTCTACGTTTATTGAAAGTTTAAAAAAATTCATCTCCACTAACCACCTTCTGATACAAATTTCCGTGAGACTATAATATATGGACGAGCTCTGAGCGACGCTAAACTGACCTTGGGAGTCTCTACCTACTTACTAGGGCTAAATGAGGGGTTTAAGGGAGTTTGAAGTATAAGGATTACGATATACAATTGATGGTTAGGTTTAAGAATTAGATTTAGGGTTTTCATCACAAACTGATGTCAGCTATAATGCCAAAACTCTATTTAGTCAAATGGGTGAATGATTTTTGCTCCGAAATCCAAGATCTGTTATCGTAAATCTGATTGATACGTCCATAAATTATAGTCTCGCCCCAATTTCATTTCACAAACCGATCATACAAATTATGTAATTAAATTGTTTACATAAAATCAATAATCTAAAAAAGGGTTTTATCATTTTTAATTAAATAAATTGATATCGAATTTAAACACTAATTAGGATTCTATAATAAAATAAACATCAGAATTCATGTCATAGATAATATTGTCTTGTAAAATTATCTTAGTACTAAAGTCTAATAATAGTAATAATATTAACAAGTCTATCTAAACAGTCTGAAATAAAATTCAATAATCAATCAACTGAATTTCTGGTAATAAATATCTTCAGAAGCACTGTGTAGTTGAGTTAAATTTTTCATATACTGACAACCGTCGGCAACTTATCAGTCGATCAAAAAAAACTGCCTATTTATGGAACATTTAGCATTACAATGTAGTGTAATAACAGCTTGTATTGTAATAATTAACCCTCATAAGTCAAATTATCTCTTTTCGTAAAGAAAAAGGGGAGGTTTACACATTTGTATATATATTAAAAGCCGGGCTAGTGTTATCACCCCATAGAGTCTTCTCTACCAACTAACATAAGTTATAACATAAAAAATGTTAGGGTTAGGTATTAAGAGTTAAACTAGAGTTTTAAGTTAAGTTAAGGAATTCGGGTTCGGATTTTGAACATAAACTGATATCAGTTATAGTTCAATGATTTCTCACCTTTCTGTTCATAAACTTAAGAAACGTACGGTTGAGATTGAGAGAGAGTCATAAAAGGAGATCACTATCCAGCTTCGCTAAACACTTGATTACTCAATGAACGACATCATATATATTCACATAAAATTTGGCTAAGAAGCAGATATATTATGCAATTTAGCTTAAGCATCATCTGAAATTCATTTTCTGGTATTACCAGTTTTCACTTGGTTAATAATAACATACATGTTATTTTTCACTGCACTTAAAACTTCAAGTAAAATGCATTAGGCGTTACCTTAATTCTCATTGGTTAATTCAAGACCGTCAGTATATTATACTATTATCGTTGTTGATATCCTCAAACAATAGTTCGAACTAAATTTGCGCAGGAAACTGTTTTGTTTAACGAAACTGGTAACTAAGTAACTATCCCATATAGCCGAGTCAATCAGAATACAGAAAATAACTTTTAGGATGTTATGTGAAATTATTTTTGTATGTTACAACATATAGGAAAGTTTGTAAGCATTAGTGATCCATTAAATAACGAGTATGAGGATGCTACAACAAAACATAATGTTCACGTACAACTCATTACATATAATGGCTCATAACCCTGTTGCCACAACATCAGTGAATCTATTAAGAAAGGTTTTGTGGTAGGTAGTTAATTTTCTATAGATTTACCTACGACTACACAAATGATACAGAATCTACGGCAAAGATCTCTAATATTAGGATAGGTAAACTAATAATTAAGTCTTTGGAAACTGATTAGCACCATAAAACCACTTTGCTCTAAAACATATCACATTACAGAAGTGTAATTATAAAATCAAAAAGTTATTTCTATTATATTTACTAAAAATTTGAAAAGCTTCATGGACTAGTGTGTAAATATTGATTTGACAGAAAAACAAATGAAAATCAGTAGGCTTCATAAAATTTAGACAGTAATGAAATGTCATAACTAGTAAAGCATAATTACCTAGATTTACAGTTGATTTACTCAAGTTAAAATTATGTAATATTACATCCCTAAACTACCAACAACTCCGCCTGGAGTCCCTTTCCGGGGGCTACTGCCGGTCCCAAGCACGGATAAAGGAGGAGGGTTGGGCATGGGGTTAGCGACTCCATCCCGTAGAAAACTAACTCGCTAAAAAAACGTTAACCAGAAAAAATTATTCAAACCATTTAAACTCTGCCCTGGGAGTCAGGAGGTCTTCGTTTAGAAGAATTATGACGCCTCATGATGGAAGCCGAGTTTCTTCGGAAGTCACGAGGCCGATGCCCCTTCTGACAACCACAGCAACCATTTATTTAGGTACATGAAATGCTCGCACAATGTGGGAGACTGGGAGAGTTTTTCAAATTGCTGCAGAAATGAGGAGATACAACCTAGAGGTGCTTGGGATCAGTGAAACACATTGGACGCAAGTTGGACAACAACGACTAGCTTCAGGGGAGCTGCTGTTATACTCCGGACATGAAGAAGAAAATGCCCTACAAACACAAGGAGTTGCATTGATGCTGTCCAAACAAGCACAAAAACGCACTTATAGGATGGGAATCTCATGGACCAAGGATCATCAAAGCCTCCTTCAAAACAAAGAAAACGAGGATTACAATGAACGTCATCCAATGCTACGCGCCTACCAATGACTACAATGAAGACGCTAAAGATCAATTCTACGATAGGCTGCAGTCAATCGTCGAGAAGTGCCCAACAAAAGACCTGACTATTCTGATGAAAGACCTAAATGCTAAGGTTGGAATTGACAACACCGGATATGAAGAGATCATGGGACGACACGGACTGGGAGAAAGGAACGAAAATGGTGAGAGATTTGCAAATCTATGTGCCTTCAATAAACTGGTCATAGGCGGGACTATATTCCCACATAAACGCATACACAAAACCACATGGACTTCACCGGATCACAGCACACAGAACCAAATCGACCATATCTGCATCAACAAAAAGTTCAGGAGGACGATGGAGGACGTGAGAACAAAGAGAGGAGCTGATATAGCATCAGATCATCACTTGCTGGTCGCCAAGATGAAATTGAAACTCAAGAGGCACTGGACAACGGGGAGGACAATATCACAAAAATTTAATACGGCTCTTCTTCGGGATAATGACAAACTCAATAAATTCAAGATAACCCTCAGCAATAAGTTCCAAGCCTTTCATGATCTACTCAATGGAGAAGGAACTACTATGGAGAGCAACTGGAAAGAGATAAAAGAGGCAATCACTTCAACATGTCATGAGGTTCTGGGCCAAAAGAAGCACCATCACAAGGATTGGATCACGGTCGATACACTGGATAAGATTCAAGAAAGGAGGAACAAGAAAGCAGCAATCAATACCAGTCGAACAAGAGCAGAAAAAGCCAAGTCACAAGCTGAATACACAGAAGTAAACAAGCAAGTGAAAAGGAGCATCAGAACCGACAAACGTAAATCTGTGGAAGATTTAGCAATGACGGCGGAAAAGGCTGCCAGAGAAGGAAACATGATACAATTGTATGACACAACAAAGGAACTCTCTGGAAATCACCGTAAACCAGAATAACCAATGAAATACAAGGAAGGCAAAGTAATCACCAACATTGAAGAACAGCAAAACAGGTGGGTAGAACACTTCAAAGAACTCTTGAATCGACCAGCCCCACTGGACCCACCCAACATCGAAGCAGCACTCACGGACCTCTCAATTGATGTTGGCGCACCGACAATTGAAGAAATCAGCATGGCTATCAGACAAATCAAGAGTGGCAAAGCAGCAGGACTAGACAGCATTCCAGCAGAG